CACTCATCACAGCCATGCAACAAGTCTGCAGGAAACCCTTGCAGCACAAACCTTTCCGCCGGCAACAGCAGCCGCCAGAATGATCGTTTCTTGGCGGTGCGGTGAAGATCCATGGAGGCAACAAACAGGTAGCGGTTGCTGCAGGTAAGCGTGGGGGCGATGTTTTTCGAGTACACCCGCTGAAACACCTTGCCGTCAGCTCGATCTACCGGAAAGATGACGATGCTGCTCTCCTCCACTTCGCCATCTTTCAGCTTCCGCTTCAATGCTTTCTCTGCGTCGCGGAGGTTGGCCTGCATGTGCGTCGTCAACTCTTTTTCTGGGTTGACAGCTGGCACATTGGGGTGCAAAAAACAACGTAAGCTGTTTTTGCCCAAAGGCGGCAGTGCATCCGGCACCACCGCAGCAAAGGTCTTTCGGATGCCCGTCAGAAAGACACGTGGCCGACGCTGTGCCAGAAGATAGTCGGACGCATCCAGACTCTGAACCTTCCAGTCAAACTCCGGCACTTCAGCACGAAGCACAGCAAGCAAACAGTCCATGAAGGAGCCTTCAGGCAGCACTTTCGTCAGGATGCCCTTGACGTTCTCCAGCACTGTGCCAAGCAACTCTCCTGCCTTGATGAGGGCGATGACAAACGTCAGCACTTTCACATACACAAGGCTGCGTGGATCACACGGGCCAGCCTTATTCCCCATGCCAGACCATGGGGGACAAGGAGGTCCTGAGCAAAGTACGTCAACGGGCCGCTCAAGGTCTACGATGTCTTTCAACATCACATCGCCCTCCACACGGCCCAAGTGAAGGCTGCTGCCTGAGGCAAGGGGCACATGAAATTCCAAGTATTCCCGGTAGTGAGCTTCCAGGTCATAGACATTGGTGGCCTCATAGTCAACACCAAGCATCTTCAAAGCCCAGCCGCAACCGTCCACCCCTACACATGGGAGTGCCACACGCAGCGGTCTGCCGAGGTCTGGCACATCCGGCAAGACGTTGAGCCAGTCAACGGGTTGAAGAACCCCAGCACTGACAGCGGAAGCTGCAGGCCGCTTCTGCTGCACAGCAGCACTTGCTGGCTTCTTCTGCGGAGGCAAGCCTTCCGTGGAGGGGGCCGCTGCTGGCCTCTTTTTCGGCGCCATTGGCAGAGGCAAGTGCCTTCTGCCTCGAGAACTGCAAAGCTGATGGTGGCGTAGGTATCTGCAAACTTGACAAACTGTTCAAATCAGCTTTGCAGAGACGGAATTTCGAAGGATTTCAGCCCTGTGCTTGAATTGTTCAAGGAAGAATCGTGTTGGATTTGGGGGTTAGCGTTTATGACTGATAACATGCCGCTTATAGTTAAAACTTCCTACTTCCTACTGAAAACAATTCTCTTTAGATGCGTGAATGCAAATGCAGCCCTCTGCGTACAGTTTGTTTTGACGCTGAGCACCCCTGTCCAGCTTACGGTTCATGGCTCTTGCCGGTCCCACCGCTTCAGGAAGGCACCAAAATCATCACTCATCTTTGTCACATCCTGCACTGCCTCACACAATGCACGCACCGTGCACTGAAGCCCGTTCACAACCTTTTGAAGTTGTTTCTTCTCCTCGCGCTCCTTCTTGATCGTGGCTTCCAGTGTTTCGATCCGCAGCTGGAGCCAGTACACTTGATGCTCCAACTGCTCAGGCTCCGGGTCCATCATCATGCTCTGCGTCTCCACGTCGTCCTCCGCGAGATGTTCCGACATGCGGCGCAGCACCTGTGAGTGCGGTGGAGCTTCCATTATATACGAGAAGGCGAAGCCTTTCTCTGGAATATAGACGAGAAGGCCAGCCTTTCTGTGACAAAGCTGGAGCCAGAAACGCATCATGAATACATGTTGCAGGCACATGAAATTTGGAAGCGTTTGCATTCCACCATCGTTCGACGGACCATGCTAAAGGTGGTGGATCCCAGGTATATTTATATACATAAATATCATGCATGCATGCATGTCATGCATGCAGCCCCAGTAGTGGTAGTAGTAGTAGTAGTAGTAGTAGTAGTAGTAGTAGTTTGTTGCCTCACCTGTTTTCCTATGGATTTCAAGCTCCGAAATCAAAAGACAAGCCCCGA